ATACAGACCGACTCAACTTCTCATGGGGAGAAGGATGCGTACAACCGTACCGATCGCCCCTCCGCTGCTAGAACCAAAGCTACCCGACCAAAAAGAACTGCGTCGCTATGAGCAAGAAAACAGGAACCAACAAAAGCTATACTTCGACCGGCGACACGGAGTGCGTCAACTCGATCCACTCGGCTCTGGAGAGCGAGTTTGGGTCATTGACCTAAAGCGAACCGGAGTTGTTCAGAACAAGGCTCATACACCATGATCTTACTGGATAACGTCCGAGGGTCAAAAGATCCGAAGAAATCGCACGCATTTAATTCCTTTCCCCGATCAACAAGATAAACAAGGCATCGAAGAGTTCTTAGAGAAAAGAAACCCGCATTCCTGCCCTTTCCACTCTTCCTCGTTCCGTCACCCAGGGGTTATGGTTTATATTCTCTTCTTTGTCGCCATGTGTAGGGTTTTGAGAGGTCCAGTCAACCTGTATGTCAGGGTCCATCAACATAAGCTGGTGACTATTCCTCTCATGGTTAGCTTGGGTGTTGTCGTCCATTTCAAAGTTGTCGCTCTCATCGTAAAAAATAAATGTCGAACGCCTTTTTTTTTTATAGGCGGGCTTCTTGATCGGTTTTGGGAAGATGAAGATGCAGCGGTCTCTGTGGTTCCGGGGAGTCAGAGTCATGGTTAACCTAAACTTTCGTGGGCCCTGGTGCACTGAGGTGTGCGGCACTAGGCCCAGGATGGCCGTACTTGTCGCTAGGCCTACTGTGAGGCCTAGTTGGCGGCGTGGTGGGAAACTTAAAATGTTAAAAAATTGGAAAAATGGACTCACAGTCTTTCAAATGTTTTGTGGTAGGAACTGTTTATGGTCATTCCTGTAATTACGCATGTTTGCCGTTCGTGGGAGCAGCAGAGATTAGAGTCAGGAGGGCCTGTCAGCTGAGTGCTGAGAGATACATCCGGGCTTTCCGAGCGGCAAGTGGACAGGCTCAAATAAAACCAATCAACAAATTGAGTGTTTTTTTTTTTTTATATATATATTTTCGCTCAACTCAGCCACGTCAAAGTTCAACATGACTGCAGCCAGAAAAGAAAACGCTTTTTAAAGCTACCGCTTAAAAGAAGTAAAAAACAATAAAAAGACCTTTCGTGCCGCACCATTTTCGTATATTCGCCTCGGGAGAGAACTGTGTCGCCACCGTGCGGCCGAAATTGTAAACACCCGCTAGTGTGGATACCGCGACGTCTTCTGTTGCGAGCGCGCTTTGAGAAGCGTAGTTCTCAGCGGTGAAAGGCGTTTCCCATCGAAGCTGTACTATCTATCTGTAGTGCTTGTAGTTTTCTTTTTGAAAAAGATCGTATTTTTTGCCTGCTTGGAAATTCAGCAAAGTGATATACATCAAGTCAAATGTTTTCATAACGCTGTTACTGTGGTGTGTAGAATGGCGGGTGCTGTGCATTTTTTTTTTCAACTCGTAACTTCTCTAAAAAAAAATAATGTTAATTAAAACTGGGCGTCAAATAAAGAAAATAAAAATAATTAACTGCCACGAAAAGTCCCTTTGTGACTCCCAGAGTTATAAACACCGAAAATATTTGAACAGCAAAATATTTATGGGATTTTTTAATAAAATATAATCACACTCCATGACAATCAGAAGAAAATAAAAGAAATAAAAACTTGAAGGGGCTTCTTTGGGCAGCCTTGGTTTAGGGATTATAAAGGGCGTAATAAATAGCGAAACTAGATCTTTGAATGGACAAAAAGCGTATTGGTGCGGGAAAAGAATGCAGAAAGTATAAACATGTAAGAAAACGACAACACAACCACACCTGTTTCTCTTATTGGTCACGCGACTTCTTCCAACTCAAGATTCCACCAATTCAACTGCTATAATATGTATTTTTATTAATCCATTAATCCACTAATCTGAAGGTGAATCGATTAACAGCCCATTCCAAATATGTACTCAGCGACGTTAGTCTTGAGGGCTCTACGCTATTCTAGTGAAAGTTGCTAGCTGAGTAAAAATGTGACGCAGAAGCCAACGCTTCACGTGTCCTGATGAGGCCTCTTTGTTGAGGACGAAAAAAATTACACCACGTTTTAGAAGACGAAAATTTAGTCAGAGGTTTGTAATATTCGTCTCTTGAGTCTCGAAACCTGCGGCCCTTCACCAGAACACCACAATGAGTGAACCCACATTACCGAAAAGCAAACTACAAAAAAAAAAAAGAGCGTTTGATAAGCATGAACGTTGCTGCGCTGCTCGCTTACATGCTTTTATCCCGCTCGGAGCCAATTTACCAGAACAGTTCCTTTCCCTTGCCTCGGCCGTCGCGACACAACCCGCCGTTCGCGGATCTCAATTACAATAAATTAGACGAGGCGTTCTTTCCTCAGCGCAACATAGTATCGTTCTTCCGATTCCGACAATTCAACCCACACCGTGACACATTAAAAGCAAGTAACAACTGCCACGGCAATGACTTTTATTCCTAGAAACTCGCGACAGAAATTAGATTTTACGAACAGCCTCAGCAATAACTTCTAGAGATGCACATCTCTGTATCCGCGGAAGCTGCGAGAAGTACAAAAAAAAAACAAAAAACATTCGTAGAACTTGTGATTCGACAACCCACACTAGCAATAGTATCCCAGAGTCTCGCATCGCTTTTTTTTTATAGCTTTGCATTTACAGGCTAACAAAGGAAAAAGTAGTTCAGCTCACCCGGTAACAGTGATCCGTCTCCGGGATTCGCGCTTCCCTACGTGCATCCACACCAGACGACGATTTGTGTACCCACACAGGCGGTTGTTTAAATTTAGGCCTCTGCTGACGAATGAATTCGAACTGCACTGATGCACCGAACTGTGCTGCACCATTTTCCGCTAAATTGGTTTTCCCAGCGACAGCAGGCACCAAACAAACGCACGAATCTACAGCTCCTCTCAGACGAACGCGGGGAACACATAGGGGGCGGTTTTATTTCTATCCACAATATGATAATAAAAATGACGCTGGAATCGCTGGTGTAACGGCGCTAATTGTCGACGAAATCTGCTAGCATTTAGCGCAGAGGTTTCGACTCAGAGAAAGACGGAATTCCAACCTCGCAACGGTCCGCTTACTGCTTTGTTCTCCCGGGCGTCGCCTGTTTTGGACGCAGCCATCACAGCTCCCCTCGATCGTCGCCTACGGTACGCATGCTGTTGTCTTCGAAAAGCCAATATTCCCTCTCGGGTGTCGGCGGTTTCGCGCAAACGGCACCGTCGCTGCGTCTCGGTTGTATGCTATCAAGTACGTTGTGCCACCGGCACGGCCTCCTAGATTACCTCCTCTCCCACTCCTGCGGCGCGTCATTGGAAGAGTCCTTGAAGAATATTTCCCTCTTCTAAGAGGGAAAGTGGACGTAACGAGCGAAACGAACGGGAAGCAAAAGGGCACGGCGGGAACCGGGTATCGGCCTCTCAAAATCTGTGCAGTTCAGTCCAGTCCTAACCAAACCACGACCGTCCTAGCCAAAGGACGGCGGCATGCACCGGGGTAATGAATGATAACGCATTCAATAGCGCGACAGCGGCGCTGCCTCTAGTATGGTGCCTGGAACGCGTGTCCGACTGGTGTGTTTACCGCGTCCCAAAAATGTGGTCCCTTGATTGCCACTTGATGACGTCATAGACGTGTCATTCTGTCGCCGGTCGCGAGCCTGGTGGTGTTCCAGCAGCGGCTGTTTCTGTGGCAGACGGCTGTTCTGCTGTAGGTCGCTCTCAATAATGACAGTCCACGAAAGCTTCGGCGGTCAGAAGTTGGGACGCCGAGACAACAGTGACACTCGCATTCGCTCGTGCTTTCCGCAAGCATTTCTACAAATAACCGTTAGGATCGCTACATGCAAGAGCATGACACTTCTGTTTTTGCAACGTCATTTGTTGCCACTTCGGAACCACTTTTGATGTATGGGCGGCATAGGACGCCAAATGCACCAGTTGGACACGCGGTCCAGGCACCAGACCTCTAGGTCAATCTCGAGGTCAATAGCCGCCGTCTCTCAACGCCAGCGGTAGACAAAGCTGCGCCGAGTCTCCGAAACAGCACTTCAAAAAGGAGAGGCGTAATAGAATAAAAGTGGCGCTTCGCTCCGCTTGTGACGAGGTTGGGCAAACGTGGGCTTCCGTTCTTGCGAGCAAGCATCCACAGGACGACACAATAGGCGAGCATCGTTGACTGAGTGCGTTAGCTCACCGGATATTGGAGCACGGGGAGCGAAAGCACGCGTGCTCTGAGCCCAGGGATATACCTTGGCCCGTTTCGATCTCGATGAGTATCGTACCGGCTTGCGGTCATGTATCACTACTGCTAGGTGCACGTTAAAGAACCCAGGCTAGCAATGGTACTGCACTGGTCAACGTATTTATCATCTACAGCGGTGACACTGGACGCTCATTTCAGGCTGACTAACTTCCGGCTGTCTAAGAATGCACACTAAACGATTACCTATAAAATGATAGATTTAGGGACGTAGCTATAGTGGGAATATGATGTTTAGCGCAACCGAGCCCATGTCAAATATTTTCTCTTGCTTCCGTTCTATCCGAATGTCCGTTTAATTATTTAAGGCAATTCAATATATTTTATGTAAGTGACTGGGTTCTGAGATTTGCTGATCTTTGTTTGGCGACGTATCCCTTTGTTTTTTTTTGCTTTTTTTTTTTGTTTTGTTCTTACATGTGTATATGCGTCGCGCTACTCAAGTTTTCAGGGAATCGCAAAACGTGTATAGCAAGTGAATAACGGTTGTTCTTTTTTGTGCGTATGCTATCTTGATAGTTTGTTTGTTTCTTTTTTTTTTTTTGCTTGTTGTCAATTTTTTTTTTTTAATTGCAGCTAATTTTTTTTTCTTGATCTTTGTTATTTAGGTAGACCTCCCCCCTCCCTCCCTCCCCCCCCCCCCCCCCCCCGCCCCCCTTTTGAGGCATTTTGAAGAAAGAAAGAAATACTCACCCGAAGGCAGCGTCGTGGCATACTGAATCAGAGAAGGTCCCAGTAGGCGTCTACCTTCCTCTTCGTTGATGGCAAGCAATTCTACTTTATATCTTTGCCATGGCTGTATATCCTGGAAACTGTGGTAGGTCACATCTCCTTCGAGTTCGACCACGCTGCAGTTTGTGATGTTTCCCTGGCATAAAGTAATCTTATAACTTGAAATGGGACCGTTGGGCTCAGCCGGACGTTTCCAGGTTGCTTTAATCGCTTCACTCTCAGCAATCAACTTTAGGCCAAAAACCCTGCTTGGTGCTGAAATGTGAAGAATGGCGAACCTCGATCAATGGTATTTTCATTCTTGTAAAATTTCCGTTAACAATGCATTTATTTACTTCGTTTTTTTTTTTCTTTTACTGAAATATTTTTAAAAATTATTCGCCTTTCGTAGGGAGGATAAGGCGTTATTGTGTGCACCTGTTTTCGGGAAAGCACCACAGCTTTTTATACAAAAAGCAATATCATCATCGACGTACTTATACAACTCTTAGGCTCTGAGAGTTTTACAAGCTTTGAGTTTTTAAACTTCAGAAAGCAATTATTTATTGCTTTTCATTTCAAGCAACTCCTCGGTTCATGCCTTTATACATGCGAGCCGCATCTATGTTTGATATTTTGCTTACAATAACCGAATAAATTAATTAACAGTCGTGTACTCACAATCCACAGCTGTTCTGAAGTTCATGGTTGCCGTCGGTCCTTCCATTTTGCTTTCATTAACGTCTGCGTTGTAAGCGGCTATGTGGACCGTGTAATTGGTCCAGGGTGTCAACCGTTCGAGGACGAAAGTTGTTTCGTTTTTTTCAACGAAGACAGCGGTGTTACAGCTGCCGTTTACTGAAGACAACGACTCTTCTTCCTTTTTACAAAGTACGAGTTTGTATCCTTCCAGAGGCCCATTCAAGTAACTGGGACGTGACCACTCAATCGTAACGCTTCTTGATTTGATGGACGTCGCATTAAAATGATGTACAATTCCAGGCTCTGCGATGGAAAACAAAAGAAAGAGAATAGATGCTATATTAATATTAGTGTAAATACGAAAAAAAGACGGTGGAACAGTTAATGCTCGTCGATACATCTGGTGGTGTTATTTCTCGCTTTTTCATTTGCGTTTTTTTTTTACATCTTGTTTAACCAATTAGTCCACCAGTTAATCTTAATACATCACATTATGCCTCGCTATTGAATTACCAACCAGCGCTTGTGTTTGGAGCATCATAGGTTTAGCGCTTTGAACGCACCCCAATGCCAACATTACAAAAACCAAGCCTCGCATTGTCTTGACGTGACAGCCAGACAGCCAAGAATATTTTGCAATAAACAACGAACCCCCACACAAAATTTAAAAAAAAAAAACTAAAAACACGTGATGTAGCATTTATTTTGAAAAAAAATAACCTTCATATTAAAGCTATTGTAAGGCGATAGAACTAAAACAGGCAGAGAAAGTAGGGTTAATCTAGCGGTTCGCCTGCGATTTATGCTGCGGATGGATGAATGCATGGCAGTTGCTTCCTTTGAATCGGACGGTGAATAGCGCTACCTAGTCAATTCTTTTTTCTTTTTTTTGTATTTCTGAATATAGAATGCTTAAGCCAATTTAATCAAATTTAATTTCTGTCCGTTACTTGATTTTAGCCACAGTTCCCTTATTCTTCTTGTATTGAGTTATTCATGATGAAACCCCACGTGTGATGACATGTTACACAAGGCCAACGAGTCTGCGAGAGCTCGTCATTTGATGTTTTCAAATGATTTCGCTTTATATCCTTAAAAACCAACTGACCGCTCCCTCTATATATGTAGCATTTCATGAGCAGGAACTGTATAAACCAACGAAGATTGGTACTTACCAGCCATGGTTGTTGTGATTTTGAGAATGTTTGTGGGGCCTTCCAATTCCTGGCCAGTTGGATCGGTGTTGTAAGCGCCAATCTTGACCGTATAACTTGTCCAGGGCATCAATTGCTTAAGCAAGTACTGTGTTTTGTTTCCATCAACTAACAGAGGGGTGTTGCAGCTGCCAGGATCTGAAGACACTCCATTCTCTTGTTTCTCTTGTTCACAAAGCACGAGTCTGTATCCATCCAGGCGTCCATTTAAGACACTTGGGGGTGCCCATGAAATGGTAGCTTTGTCCGACTTGACTGAAGTCACTTCAAAATGTTTTACGCCACCAGGTTCTTTGAGCAGAGGGCGAAAGAAAAACAAAGAAACTATATTAGTGGAACGAAAAATGAAATCGGAAGACGAGAAACCACAAAGAATACTCTACGAACACTGTTTTAAGGTCAAAGGTGAACATGCGGATACGAATGACTACTCTATAAGCGTTGCACTGCAGTATGTTTGTTAAATAAAGTTTCTTTTTCAATTTTATTTCACAGTATGTAACTTTATCGACGTAAAGACTACATTTTGTTATAAGGATTATGATTTTAATTTTATAAACGCTACATGCACGCATAATTTAAAAAAGGTAGTTAATATATTCCACCTTTAAATACAATTTATCGCTTGTACGAAGGCACTCGTGATTGGGGAAAGAGCAAAGGTCCTCTGGCAACTATGTTGTTGCGCTGTAAAAAAACTTCAGTTGCATGTCGCTTATAGTGAATACTTCATGCCTCGAACGAAGTCAAAGAAGGCTTCCAAGATACCCTGATACCGTAATTAATAGCGCCGGTCTGGAAAACAGATATAAGGCCCATTGACTGTTTGCAGAGACACTCACTTTCATTTAGTTAAAGCAAATGCTCGTGCCCTCGTACGAGGCAGAGTCAATGAGTAACCGCACGTTACTTATAAAATATCGAAATCTAGCGGTATACTGCCGTGTTTTAAATAGTGGTTGGCCCTCCACTAAAGTGATCTCTGCGCGTCGGCCCAGCTGCCTCATAAAAAGCATCGCTCGATCACAACACTCTGAACATGACCGCCCCCTTGGAAGCGCGTGCCAGGAAGCAGCAGCACGCAGTAGTCCGGTCGTTAGTTGCAGAGAGGGAAAATACCGCGGATATTTCTCTCAGGATGTTGAATCAGTTGAACGGAGCCGGTATGTCACTTCGACAGATGTACGACTGGTGCAAAACGTTTCAGCGCAGAGAGTCAAGTTTGATTGACGCACATCGCCCCGGCCGGGCTCATATTTTGACGACAACGGACTTGAGGCCCGTTCACATCCTTGCGACTTCTAAGGACCGTGCGCCTTAAAACCCGATAACATTTCTTACGGCTTGAGAACTCACGGACGACCATTTCTCGTATGAAGTGCGTACATTTGACCTTGTAAATACTACAAAACCTTCGCTTCAGTAAAATGCAGCTCCAGGATCACCGCAAAGATGGCGCCAGCGTGCCATTGTGTTCTCTGGTTGTAAGACATTTTAAGAGGTTTTAAGGCATTCGGTGCTAAGGAGTCGCAAATGCGTAAAAGGGCCCTTGAGAGGGCATAGTACCTCCTAACGCCGTAGAAAATAATGTAGATTTTTGACGTTTTCAAAAAATTCCTACATGAGAACCGCCCTTTGTATTTGCTTGACACTTTTACAATAAAGAGATTAATACTTATTTTGTGCATTGGTGCAGATCATATCTCTGAGTATCTAGTACATATGTTTTTTTTCTTTTTTTTTGTTTCTTTAATCTTGAAATGGACTGAAAACGGTTGTTTTGACACTTTTGGGATCAACGACTTTTTACAAATTCCACTAACCTAAAAAAAACATTGCGTTCGTACTAGTGCCTCTAAACTTTATTATGGAATCGATTGGAATAAAAATAAATAGTGTAGGTTAATCCGTTTCGGAACTGCAGCAATACATCAGAAAGCAAGTTTTCGGTCTGAAAGTTCAACTATTTTTTATGTGTTTTGCGTTTTGTTCTCCTCCCTCTAGATGGCGGTCTCTGTGCGCAAGGACGAGAAATCAAGCAGTCTCACCGTGTAGATTGGTGCACACTCTTTTTTTTTGTGTTCATACGCGATTTTCTTTTGAACCGGGGAGAGCGGTTGCGGGTCAGTTCAACGCGGCTGCGCTTGGCGTTTGGTGCGTTCGAATTTGTGTCGCTCGGAAGTGGTGCATTCGCCTCTGGCGTCATGGGTTGAAAGCAGGCTCCCTATCCAAAGCGAATGCTTCAGAGGTCCCACATTGAGAATACTCGTAAGCGACCGTCTGTGGATACTTCGCACGCTGAGGATTCTGATGAGATCGAGACATCGTGTTCCAACCCGGATAATTTTGTTTTCGAGAGTGAATAAGGTGGTCCTCAAGCCGCGACCGTGCGAGTCAGCATTGGTGTGGTGGCTAAAAGATTGAACATCAGTCATGGCTTGGTGCACCAGATTGTCCACTATAGTCTGCAGTGCTCAAAAGTGTCCGCAAGTTGGCTACGAAGACAAGTTACGCCAGCCTTTGAAGTGCGCCATTTGATTGTGTGCGAGACTCTGTTACAACGCAACGAGGATGAGAGAGATAATTTTATGATTCATTGCCACCGGGAACGGAGGTTACACCCACTGCTCTCAGCTATGAACCAAGCGGACAAGCAATGAATGAAATTGCACTACACCAACGGGACCAAGAATGTCCTAGGTCATTCCGACGCTGGGCAAGCTTATGCTAACGGTCTCCTGAGATTGTAAAGGACCGTAGTCGAACATTAGATGCCCAGGAGATTCAGTGTGACCTGCACGAGAACAAATTCAAGTATGTCATCCGGTCATAGTGTCGGCTTCGCTGACCTCTGGTGTGTTGCTGCAGCATGGCAAAATAAACGCAATTTCTTTTGTTCTCTGGTGTAAATGCCCGTGCTAGTAAAGCTCTTTATATACATAAAATGTTTCATTACACATGGTAATGGAGACCGGTTGAAAAGAAATCTGTCACTGGCTCTGTTCAGAAAAGATCCCTCACGCAAGTTCGGACGTATTTTTTTTATATTACTCTTCAAGATGCGTAAGGAACGTTCCCAAAAACTATTTTTCAAACGAGCATAAAATTTGAAGACACGAATATTTTTGAGTGCGCCAGAACGGTATATTTTCGTTAATGACAAGTGTGGTGACACCTCTACGCAAACTACAAAAATACGAAATCTCAAATCTTGTGCACTTTTAACAGATCATGGAAAGTATTGATTTAAATATCTATAGCATTGTAGAGGTTATATAACTCGCGTGAACGATGCGCAAACATGGCTCCTTTGACGTTTTGTCAATAGATTTAACCGTCGATATCCTAACAAACCGAATAGCTACAACATTTAACCTTATGTCATATATTCTTATTAAAAGGTTATTTCGAATGATATAAAATCATTACTTTATCTAAAAGCTTGAAAATATTATGTAGCTCCAAATTAGCTTGAAGTACAAAGGCACTTCAAGAAAAAATCTAAAATAAAAAGCCCATCTTCGATTTTTCTCAAATTCATAGTGATAGTTCTCTCTCACAGCTTTGTGTTTATTCATAATAAACACGCGACATATTCATAAAGGCATTTTATGTGTTTTTGTTTCCTTCAATGTTTCAGCGCTACAAAGTGTGCCTCCCATGACGGCATTTTTTCTAAATGCCACAGACGAGATTATATTTTCATTCCGTATATTTTATGACTAAAATATTTCTTGCGGGTTGTATTACGCTATTTCTCTCAAGTTCAAGTCTTCAACCCGTTAAAACAATATCTGTATTGCTTTCTCTTGTTATTAATTTAACAAATGCGCCTGTTTTGCTCTTTAACATTACAAGTTCTAGGAGTTTCATCTGAACTTTTTCAACAAAAGCGGGACAAAAACAATTGTAATTGCTACTACTACGTTTTATTATTTTTTGTTACAGAAGGTAGAAGAAAAGTAAGTAACGCGGGGCAAATTGCATGCGAATATTTATACCTATATTCGAGATGAAGTGGGAATGTCTGAGCCGAAGCCTGTTACACTGCTATTCATGAGGGTTGTACACCTGGTTAACCAAGCTAAACCTACGATTTCACTGGCAGACTTTTAGTCATACGTCCGTTAAGATTAAAAAATAATATTTATTATTTATTTGAATAAAGTTTGAAAATAAATATGACAAAAAAAGAACGAGTAAAGGTATCCAGCGCTCGCGTTGGCCGGAGGACATTTTGAGAAGTCTTTCTTTTCTCCATCTCCAAACCAGTCTGACGAATTCGGCAAAGCACTCACCTGTGATGGAATAATTCGAACGAGTGCTAAAAACTCGCTCCACTCCGAGTATGGCTACAAATAAGAAATGCACGAACTTCAGGATTTTACCTGATCATCTTCGGAAAATTGACATCCAGATCTTATAAACTGCACAAATATCTCTGCTTTGCTATCTTCTTTCTGTGTTTACTAAGATAGTCAGCATAAAATGCAATACAGACGCTGTAAGTCGCTGCCATAGTTGAAGACGTTCTGTCAAGACGCCCCTACACGGGACTGGCAAGAACTTCACTCGTTTATAAGCGTAGCGCGCGTGCTGTCTTGTATCAAGATCACAAGACTCCACGACCTCCCGAAAGCATGACAGGAGAGAGAAACAAGGAAAGCTAATGCGGTATTAACTTTTCTATGAAGCAACGTACAGAGTATTACCCCTGTCAGGTGGGCACCTAAAAAGACCTTTACGCCAAAGGACCTTTAGTGTAAATGTAATTTAAGCAGTGCCACACGACAACTCAAATGACATTTAGAGTAAAGGTCCTTTTCGTGAACCTGAGTTCCCGCAACTCTTTTGCGGCTGCTAAAGGCGTACTCTCGTCAGCAGCGGAGACCCCAAATGAAATTAAAGATCGTACTGATATCTAATATTAATCTTTTTGTACTGATAACATTTAAAAGAGCGTGTTTCACGTGCATTCTATACAGACCTCACTCTACTAAAAGTTTTTCTGTATTGACTGCCCCAGCTATCTAGTAGGCCTCGTCGTCCCACTGCTCGCCTGCTCGCATCGTCCGCTTGAGCACTTCGGTTTTCCTCCTCTCGATTTTCCTTGCAACTATTGTTTTCCAGCTTTTGTTTCTTTGCTTTATATCTTATCAATCTTTAATACTGTATTACTATCTGTACTGTGTATTTTTAATTTTTTTTACATATTTATTTCTGCATTTTACTTTCGTGTCGTGCGATATGTCAAACGACGGAGACTCGTCCACGACAGGGAAGGGGTCGCC